GAGATGCCTTTTTGACGCCACAAGTGACGCAAATTAGCAAACGTGATTCGAGCCTTTGAGATTCTTGCACTGACTTCATCAGACACACTTGTGTCAAAGCTAATACAAGGTACATCAAGTTTCCACAATCTCCAGTGATTCTCCTTGAATAGGAAGTGGGTATGTTCGTAGACGGCAAGTTCTGAAGCACAACTTTGCACTTTGAAAGTGCAGGGCGCATGCCAAAGGGTGGTATGAGGGTGGTCACTTTATTCAACAAGGCTTGTGCTTCGCTTTGATCTTCAAAGACGAGGGCGATGTCATCTGCATACTCCAGAACGACAAGGGTTTTGAAGACCGTCGAGCGTTCACCTCCGTACTTCATCAATGATGAAGTTGAACAAGAATGGAGAGAGTGGACATCTTTGTCTGATACCACTTTTGGTAGGGAAGCTTTTGGAGAGCTCACTATACACTATCACCCGCCCACAAGTATGTGAATATAGGGATCGGATTATGTTTTACAAACTTCTGGGGCATAACCTGTTGAGCAAGTGTAGCTGACAGCACTGACCGACCGACAGAATCAAACGCACCCTTGAAGTCAAAGAATACCAAGATTGTGGGTCGTCTGTACATGTGGCGTTGCTCTAACACCTGACGGAGTGTGAAGATGTGATCAACGCAGCCTCTGCCCGGACGAAATCCCGCTTGATTCTTACGAGTCAAGGCTTCGCATGCCACCGTAAGACGACGAATAATCAGTGCCGTCTACTGTGTGCTGATTGAGATATATCATGCTGTAAAGTGCTGCAACGAGTGAAAGTCTATTTCAGTGACTATCGCATCACTCACTAGGCAGAAAATCTCACCAGGATGAGAGGAGGACTATTTCGACACTTGGTTTGACAACAACTCAATGACGACATCATTTCGATTGGCGACGAAGCGTTTGGGATTCAACTGCCCAGCTCAGCGAACAAACCAATGACCGATAGTTGCACCATAAATGCTGACGGCGGGTGTGGCGACGAAGCGGGATTCAACTGCCCGCCCAGCTGAACAAACCAATGACCGATAGTTGCACCATAAATGCTGACGGCGGGTGTGTATGTGTGCGTGAAGGCTAATTTCTAAGTGTGTATGGACAAGGGAGAAAGGACTGAGAAGCACTAGTCTAACAGAAATCAGCGTGTTCACTCACCGATGAATGTAGTTCTCCAGTGTATTTGGGAGATCAAAGTTGATCACGAGTGAGACTTGTTGAACATCGATTCCGCGGGCCAACAGGTCAGTACTGATCAAAACTCGACTGGACCCACTCCGGAACGCAGTCATGATGTTGTCTCTCTCGGCCTGCTCCATATCACCATGCTTTGCGCAGGGGTGATAAAAAGGGAAGAAAATTCGTTTGGTGAACAGAAGAACAGAATGCAACAGAACTGCCGCAGGAAAATAGTACTGTAACGCTATACTAATTATTGTAAATTCCTTCATCATACAGGGTAAATAGGCTTCTGATGGAAGCTCCTCACATTCCAAGAGGGCTGTAAGACGAATTGCCAGTCAGTTTACTGCAGCCCATCTTGAATGGGCTGCAACACAGGAAATTCACCTTCGGATAAAGAGCTAACCCCGAGTTGTTTTGTTCAGGCCACATACCTCGTACGTCGGATGACCAGGGTTCTTTTCTATTGATAAAGTCCTGAGTTGAAGTCCGTCAAGGACGCGAAAGCCTTAGTCTACAAATTCAGTTACGTTGATGGCTGCTGTCTCCCGGTAGGGACCCTGAAGTACCACGTGCCGTCAACCCTGAAGTGTTTCAAACCAATTCCTTCAATGCAAGTCTGTCCCTACCTGTTCATCTACCATGGCGGAACAAAGAGATATGGCGGATAGAATCAAAATACGTGGGTTAAAGTTGACAATAGGTATTATACACTCAACCCCTTAAGTCCAGATATAGGAACAATGAGACCCAACTCAACTACGCCCAATTCAGAGTGGTAGAAGCAGAGAGGCAGCCAACCCTTGACCTGGCAAAGGGGTATGAAAGACATTATGAAACGTTTGGGTGCTGTCGGTGCTACTCGCCTTTCAAGATGGGAACCGCGTGATCCTCACTGCGCCTGGTTGGAGACAAAGTAATATACGGCTGCTAATCGATATCGATGGCGTTTTTGTTGTCAAATTCTACCCAGATTGCCTGAATAGGTGTATTGAAGTGCATGAACCTTGCAATGATTGTCACTTAGTGCACTTTTACACGTTTCCTTAAAATGAGGCTTTCAAATATATCGTGGTTGTACGGCAGCGAAGTATCAGTGTTGAACAATGATGTCATGTTGTCGACGAGGATGATGAGGTCCCCCCTTGACTCCTGTTCAATTGTGAGAAAATGTTCAGCTCACTTTCGGTCCCAAAAAGCGCTTGCACAGTAATCCATCAAGAGGAACTATAACGTGAAAGTGAGCTGACTCTCTTTTGGAGCTGAGAAGACCACTGTCTCAATCCCGTCACGAAGAGACTAGACCTTACCGTGGTGTGACGGTTTGCGCACCTCAATGATCCATTGAGCTAGGCTGGGGAGTATCCCCGCGGCACTCACATAGTTTCTCATACCAGGTTGGTCAGTGGTTAGAGGCCTGACGAACACAGTCTCCCGGCCCTCTAGCTTGGGGGTTGAAACATGTGGCGACTTGTTCCGTAGAAATGGTAATGCGTTTGCATTTCCTGCCAAACACCGTTACCTTGCGGTTAGGCTCTTGAGCCACCTTAACTCTTTTCTTTACAATGAGGCTTTGAAATAAGTCATGGTTGTACGGCAGTGAAGCATCGGTGTTGAACACTGATGATGCCATACTGTCGATGATGATGAAGATGATGACTGTCTGAATCGTAGCTGAGGAGTAAGGCTGACGTGGGCTAGTCTGGGGAAGCCTCCTTCCAGAGGGTCTCTCTTTGGGGGTTAATATACACTAGAGCCCTCAATATCCAGAGCGGATTCTTAATTCTTTATGCTCTACACACCTGAACACACAATCAAGCAACGCGGGTAGCAGTGGACACGCGCCGATACGGTCATGACTGGTTAGTGTTTCACCGCAACAACAAAAAAAACACAGTTGTTTTACATGAGAGCGGAAGAAATAGATACAGTCCAATCAGTCAGCCACAAACAGCTGGATTCCAGAATGCATGCGGAAAAATGCATGGTCAAGCATGCAGTGTACTTTGAGCAAAGTATGCTATCGTTTTTTGTCACACACCACAAGGCGGTTACCAGCACACATGTGAGAAAAAACTGACAGCGTAATCAATACACAGGTTGTCTGTGCATAAATGAGCGAGCAAATGGTTTTGGTGACGAGGAAAATACGTCTGAGTGGTAGCTGTTGGTAATACCCGTAAAATGGGATAAACCCATTCTATGTTGTGAAGAACATGAGGAGAGCAAAGAGTGGAGAGAGCTATCTATGAAAATTGTTCGAGCCATATGTTAACACCAGAATACGGAAATACAGGAAGTGTTGCCGTAGGACAAAAAACAGGTGTATTCGGACACTAGGTTCGGAACCGATAGTTTGATGTGTGATCGAAGTGAGCCCAACTTACCATCGCGGAGACAATGAAATCCCGCTCAGTCAACTCCTGTGTGAGCCATTCAACCTTTCGTCTCGTGTTGCAGAATATCACAGCCTGTGTGCAAAGGTGTATCGGACACTAGGTTCGGAACCGATAGTTTGAAGTGTGATCGAAGTGAGCCCAACTTACCATCGCGGAGACAATGAAATCCCGCTCAGTCAACTCCTGTGTGAGCCATTCAACCTTTCGTCTCGTGTTGCAGAATATCACAGCCTGTGTGATGGCAATGGTCTGGTACAGATCACACAGTGTTTCCAGTTTCCATTCTTCCTGTTCGACATTGACGTAAAACTGTCGGATTCCTTCCAAAGTGAGCTCTTCCTGCTTGACCAGAATACGAACTGGATCGACCATGAAGTGTTTGGTTACTTCGAGTACTTCGTCGGGAATAGTTGCTGACAGGAGTATGACCTGAACGGGTGAATAGAACGAATGGGAACGATGTGAATAGTACACTCGTCCGCATTGTGTCACAGTCCCCACAGGCAACTATGAAGTGTCACCTAATTCTTTGTCTGCCTATGCTGTACGATGCGTAGTAAAACAGCCCAAAAAGAGAGGATAATTCTTCTGGAGGAGACACACGAGAATTCAAGAGGTCCCCTATGGTCCCTAAATTCCAGACTCACTCCAAGTGAATAACCGGTTTGACCATTGATGTCACCAGAGCATTGCCCAAATCCGGAGGAACATCGGATCAGCAGTCCTGAAGTACGTCGAACGCTATTCAGGAGAAATAACTCACCCTCGATATATGAACTGATCACACTGCATAGGTTGCGCTGGCTTGGCCACGTGGTGTGTATGCCAGTCGACCGACTTCCTCGAAGGGTTCTTTTCGCACAACAACGCGAAGGGTGGAAACGACCCAGGGGATGTCAAACAATGACTTGTCAGCCAATTATAAAAGCCATTACCAGCGAACTCAGCTGCGCTGGTCATTGCGGTCTTCATGGATGGTGACCCAGAGATGGGCCATATCAATGGTTAGAGACATTGTCAGACATGGCCCAGTCGCACCCTCAATGGCCCCCATGTATCCAAGCTATTGCCTTCAACGCATAGCTCCTTTTCCAACCCCAACCCCCCACTTGACAGCCCACTGACAGTGCTGGATTTATGCACCAATTTATGAGCTCCCGCCTCCAATGCACAACTACCTACCCCCCCCCCAAATCATCGGTGAACGAAACTGCCGCAGCTACAACCACTGTACGACGAGCATGCGGTTATTACGGCTGACAATGGGAACAAATCACTGTTCCGATAAGGGATGAAGGTGGGGTAATGAACGGGTAAAACTAATCGAGTTCTTCGTTGTAACATCGTTTTTTGGTACTTTATCAGAATAAAAAATTGAAGTGAAGCACCTTGTGTTGTAGCTTCTTGTCGAGTTCACAGGGTTCGCCACGAAACATTGGTATATACCAATCACAGAGTAGAAAATCTGTGACGAGGTATTTCGACGAAGACATCCGTTGCTGGAACATTGCGGAACTCGCGCAGGACTTTCTACAAAAGACAGGGCTACATATAGCAGCCAGGTCGACCAACTGCATTTGCTTCACTGACCTGACTACATGTTTACCCTTCAGTTGAGAAATAAAACACGGCAGTGCGGTCGCGATTCGACCCATCAGCTATCTCTACGACGTTGGCAAATCAGCCAACCCAAAAGATGGAGATTGCAACGCTTCATGTGTAAGAGCTTTTTAGGATCCAGCTACATCTATCCTAAGAAAGTCCTATTAAACTTCATGCCCAATGACTGATACACATATCATCCGTGAGTGCCGCCGATTTGTCACAGCATAAAGTCTCACTACTCATGAGTAGACGAAGTGTGACAAGGTCAACAACACGGCCGTTTGCGTTTAGTTCCGTCCAAGTAATCCGATTCAGTGAGTAACAACACAAATAACATGTACTAATCTCCCGAAGATATACCACTGCGAGAATAGAGATAGACTTTTCGCCAGTTCAACATGGTGGAGAAAGACAACAACGGACTTTTTAAAACGCGAAACAGACTTTCCGTTTTGGAGCGGATTACTGTAGCGATCCAACCCTTGGCGGACGTTACGCCCGACTATGTACTGTACACATAACTACAGGCATCTTCCTCCCGATGAGAACAACCATGCTGAATACTTCAAAACGGGTTTCTACACGGAACCCCTTAGAAAATATCTTCAAAAAGCGGGCCAAGTGCTCCCAATGGCCCGCGATGCTTTTCTCCGGAGGGGTAATTCTACACCGTAAATTTTGATACACTTTCTGATTCTTTTTCATGGCTTCGGTCTGGGATCCATTGCTTACATAACAAGGTTTCAGCTGGATGACATGTACTCAACAATCCACCATCAAGAAACAATACTAACCTGGACATCGTGTTTCAAACACCGGAAAATCTCCTGGATCTGGTCTTTGAACCCCATACTAAGCATTTCATCGGCTTCATCCAAGACAAAGATACGAATTGAGTCGGTGCGTAGAGATCCTCGACGAATCATGTCCAGCACGCGACCCGGGGTGCCCACGACGATTTGTTGACCCATTTGTAAACGTTCCATGTCCGTCGAAACTTGCGTCCCACCGATACAGGCATGGCATGTGATGTCCATATAGTCGCCTAGGGCAACTACGACCTGAAATGGATGAGGGGATTAATGTGTGGGATAAAAGTCCTTCAGTAGCTCCAACCTTTTATCAGTGAGGTATGCCATCTGAGGCGGACCATTTGTCAGCATGAGATGATCCACAGTATCGAAAAAATAAAAACAAGAGAGAGAACCAAGGCTAAACCAACAAGACACAAGTTACATTCAGCCAAAATCATGCGAAAAAAGCTTTCAGATAGGACATCCAGCTTGAATGAAGTTAAATAAAGAATTCACCTGCGAAACACTGGAAAAAAACGATAAGTTTCTGCGAATTACGCGCTATTCATATCACGCAAAAGGGAGCAGCTAATGGAAATCGTTTCAACATGGAAAGACGATAGGAAACGAATTTATGCACTATGCCGTGGTTGGCATATCTTTTGAGCGACAGGGCTAGACACTCCTTCAAAGGTCGGATCACATATAAACCAAGAGTCCAGATATCGAAAAAAAATCACTCATCGGGGGAGGGTTTGAGATTGGCCACAGTTGCCGGAAATTTACACGCCGTTCACACGCGGTCCCCACAATCTCCGTTTCAACCGGTACGAGTGGCAGAAAAACGGCTATGGGGAAGATCATCTGTCGAATTTAACATAGAATTTGCGCATGTAAAATTAGGTTCCCGTGAATCGGGATAGTACAGTACACTATAGCATGATATAGTGTGAAATTTGCGCATGTAAAGTTAGATTCCCGTGAATCGTGTCGATACTATCATGGTACGGGACAGTACAGTACACTATAGCATGATATAGTGTGTTGGTAGGATGAGGAGAATCGGGAATTTTTGTGGAGATTTCGTCAAGTAAGTGAAGCCAATCTATGCTGAAAAGCCGAGAAGCGTTTCATGCTTATTTGGAATCATCAGCAGTGCGCATCTCACGAAACTCTGCAGAGTCTCGAACCCACGACCTCCTAGTTTGAACACCTAACCTTTCGGCCACGAGCGCCTGATCAGCAGTGTGATTAACTCGCACTTAGACAGGATATAGCGAGCAACGACTTCTCAGATAGAATTTTCGCATATCGGGTGAAGTTTATTCTTCCACTGAGCT